ACGCATGAAAAAAAGTCGATCGATGGATCATCTTCAGTACAACCAGCCTGCCAATAGATAGATCAAATCTGGTGAACCGGACGAGATTCAATCCATCCGTGGCTGGTTTAAGAGTAACGTTCTGGCCACCACTGAAAGGGTCATTATTTCCACTGACCATCAATATAAGGGGCATTTCTCCCATTGATCCAGATGAATTGGCTGCAGTAAGAGTTCCCAGAAACCTAATAATTTTTTTAGGGGTTCCTCTGGTGTAAAAAAGTTGAGAAAATTTGTATAAATTTAAATTCATGCAATTGGCAGCAGAAATCAAGTTATGCCCCTTCTGTTTCGATATATAACTCTAGAGTAAAAAGCTGTATGGAGCTGAAATTTCTGGACACTATGCTTGGTCTGGGCACTGCATATCATTCTTCAAGATGGCCATGTCCATTGTGATTTCAGTATTACATTTAAATGTAAATCTGGACACTGACAGTCCTAGTGAAAGTGTGCTACTTTATCTAATTATTGAACTGCTGCAAATGCAAGCATTTATTTATTATTATTTATTTCAGGTACTTATATAGCGCTGTCAATTTACGCAGCGCTTTACATATATATTGTACATTCACATCAGTCCCTAACCCTCAAGTGGCGTACAATCTAAGGTCCCTAACTCACATTCATACATACACATACTAGGGTAAATTTAGACAGGAGCCAATTAACCTACCAGCATGTCTTTGGAAAGTGGGAGGAAACTGGAGTACCTGGAGGAAACCCACGCAGGCACAGGGGTGAACATGCAAACTCCAGGCAGGTGGTGCTGTGGCTGGGATTGGAACCAACGACCCTAGTACTGCCAGGCGAAAGTGCTAACCATTTAGCCACTGTGCTGCCCACAATTTATTTTTGTATGACCGATTGATTCTCTGATTATTTTGCAGAACTGGAAGAAGACGAGAACTTGGATGACGTGGCTGAAGACTTCACTGAGACCTTACAAGCTCACACACATCTTGCTCCTGTGGAAACCTGAAGTGTGCCAATTAATTCCAGGGCTACGGTCATTGGCAGACCTAGACTGTACTTAGAAACTCAAATATGAGCTCAAATATGAGCCCCAATCAACCCAATCGCACATTCAAACAAAGTGTATAGTTCTCCATTGTAACCCCTGAAATTTTCAATAAATATTTGCATCCACAAAACATGTCTGTTATTCTTATAAAATATCTTTTGAGGTCATGCAAACCTAAATAACAACTAAAGTCACTTAAAAGAGAAACAAGCTATATTTGCAGAGGTTTATATTACATAGTTACAAAGTTAGTCTGGCTGAAAAAAGACAAAAATCCATCCAGTTCAACCATAAAAAAAAAAAAAGTTATAATCCTATTCCCACAGTTGCTCCAGAGGAAGGCAAAAAAGCCCAGCAAAGCACGATCCAATTTGCTCCTGCAGGGAAAAAAATTCCTTCCTGATCCCTTGAGAGGCAATCGGATATATCCCCTGGATCAACTTTACCTATAAATGTTAGTATCCAGTTATATTCTGTGTAAATGCTTTTACTGCTTACCAGAAAGAGCCCTGGTTCACATTGCTGCGACTTGTCATGCGACTTGCAACACATAAAATCAAGTTACAGCGACTTCAAAACAGATTCCTGCACTATTGTGATGCAATTTCAATGCGTCGTAGAGTCTCATGGACTTTAATGTAGCAAGAAAGTCACATTGGAAATCGCATGACAATGGGGTCGCAGTAGTGTGATCCAAGTCCTAAAGATAACATTGTGATTGTGGGAACAAACAAGCATTTTCCCTCACATAACTAATTTTCTGTCCATTAATTCTATTGATAAGATCTGCAAGAAGTGTATGGTATGTATTAATGTAGAAGCAGCAAAGACTTGTTTTGCGTTTTTGGTAGCATGGGGAGGTAATTTATCAGTGGTTTCCAACTCTTTCCCACAGGCCGAAGTGGCCATTTCTTGCCTTTAACTGGCCCTAGGGACACTATTCCTACCACTGACATCACTGATTAGGCACGGTTTCCTCCACTGACACCAACTATTGGACACTATTTCTTGCACAGACAACAGCAAAGGGACATAATTCTTCTTGCTGACACCATCAAAGGGGTGCTTTTCTTCCTACAGACACCAACAATGTGCCTATTTCTCAAACTAGAACTAACAGTATAGTGTGGTTCCTCCCACTGACATCATTGATGGGATACTGTTCTTCCTAGTGACACAAATGATAATATACTGCTCCTTACCTTGACACCATTTTCTCCCACTGACAACAATCATCGGATCCTATTTTTCCCACTGAAACCCCTGGGACACTATTCTTATCACTGACACATGGTAGGGTACTATTCCTCCCACTAAAAACAAAGACAGGACACTATTCCTACTATAGACACTATTTGTTAGGATATTATTCTTCCCACTGATACCAATGATGGGACACTATTCTTATCACTGACACACGGTAGGGTACTATTCCTTCCACTGAAAACAAAGACAGGACACTATTCCTACTATGGACACCATTGTTAGGACACTATTCTTCCCACTGATACCAATGATGGGGCACTATTACTCCCACTGACATGAATCATGGGGAAACTATTTCTCTCAGTGACACCAATGATGGTGCACTAGTCCTACCACTGATACCAATGACGGGGCACTATTACCAATGACACAAACAATAGGGCACTATTCCCACTGACAAAAACCATAGGGCACTTTTCCTTCCACTAACACAACGACGTGGCACTTGTCCTCCCACTGACATCAATGATAGGGCACTATGCTTTCCACTGACATCAATGAGGGCACTATGCCTTCCACTGACATCAATGATAGGGCACTATGCCTTCCACTGACATCAATGATAGGGCACTATTCCTTCTACTGGCACAAATGATAGGATGCTATTGTTCTCACTGACACGAATGATGAGGCACTATTCCTATCACTGACATCAATTATGGAACACTATTCCTTGCACTGAAACCAACCACTGAGAACTATTTCTCCCATTGACATCTTTCATGGGGCACTATTTCTTCCACTGCCAGCAATGCTGGGTCATTAATGCTCCCAATGATACCTACAATGGGACACTCTTCTTTCCACTGATACCAATAATGTGGCCCTATTCCTTCCAATGACTCTGAGCCATTATTTCTCCTCCCACTGACCACAGATGCTAGATCAATTTTTACTTCCACTGACCACCAACGCATGGGCATTGTATATGTAGCACTACCCCCTTAGGAGTCGCTGAAGTTTTGGGTCCTCCTATAGTCCTGCACAGCCAGGCAACATGCATTTTCACATAGACTTGCATCCAGGAGTCAGTAATCAGTCCTTGAGCTTTGGTTTTGTGATTTTATTAGGGATTTGAAACTTGGATAGGAAAGGGTGTATGGGATGCCCAATGGAACTGTAAACTATGGACAATCTTTGTGAACTATGTACAATTCTTTACACAAAAATCCCTCCTGTTGGAGAGCTAGCCAGCATCTCCTGTTGTACAATCCCAGACCCCAGATTTTCCTAATCTAGCTGTTCTGGGTGAATCCCTGAGCAGGGGATCCATTACCTGTCACTTTAAAAGAAGACAGTCCTACGTAGTTGCTAATCTGGTTTCCTCCCAGAGTGTTCCTTCCTCTATCTGGCCCAGGGGGTGCAGGTCTACTTACTCAGTCCTTTTCCTGTGTTGCTGGTGGGTTGGTGACTGCTACCAGGCCTTCTAGCTGGGCTGCCTCTTCCCTGCCATACAGGTGATCCTCTCTCAAGGGGCCAGCGAAGTCCCAAGCTTTCATGCTTCCTACCTGGAGGTAAACCCTTCTCCCATCTGGCCCCTTCCCAGGCTCCTATTCATCATCCAACCTTCCTCCCCATCTTCCCCCGAACTCTCTCTCCACTCTCCTGCTGCTGAGAAGGTGCAGTTACTCTTAAAGGCTGTCCTGGCCCCTTGCCAAGCCTCCTGTTGGGAATTGGCCAGGATCCTCTAAGAGTACAGACTAGACACTCCTTGGATCTGCCCACCGCTTCTAGATCTGTCTCAAAAGTCCTATAGCAGGGGGAAATTCCAGAGAGCCAGTCTGCAGAGCCTCTCAGCCCTGACCACAATTTGACCCCTGCTAGCTAGGTAGAGTTGCTGTTAGAAACCATGGGGCCCCATACAGCCAACCTGACAGGGCCCCCCCCTCCCAAAATAACACAGTTTACTATGCTTCAGTTATGAATAAACATGGTGAATGATAAGTACCAATCACTCATTGTGTTCATTCAAGAAATGAAGGGGCTGGCAAATGTGACATATTTACCGTACCCTCCCCCCTGACTCTCAATCCCTAAGGATCCTATTGTGTGCCTACAGCTGCTGGAGAGAAGGAGAGGAGGGAAGGCGTCAGCACTGCGGGGGTAGGGGGGCACACATGGGGGCCTGGGCAGTAGTGGGAAACGTATGATGCAAAGGGAGGGTGATCGGCAGGGGGGGGGGGCAATTACTGGAACCGATCCCCTGTAGGGCTCTCTCTGCAGCCGCTGAAAGCAGATGGGAGAGGAGGAGAAGCCTGCTTTCAGCGGCTGCAGAGAGAGCCGTACAGGGGATCGGTTCCAGTAATTGCCCCCCCCCACCAATTACTTCCTTGCCCATATCCGATCCCCTCCCCCCTCCTACAGGAGGACTGCTGGTACCCCCCCCCAGCCCTAATGACAGGTCACCTTCCATAGACATGAGGCTCTCACAGGTGCAGGAGAACACGCCCAGTAATAGTGTACGGACTGTGTAGAGATATGTGATATGAATAGAACAATTGTGTCCAACCAGAACTCAGGGATCATTGTAGATCCGTCAGCTGATTGTGTCCTACAATGATCGTATCTTCCTTTCTGACCTGTCAATCAGCCAACACCGGGCCACGCCCCCAGCCGGTCAGTCTCCGCCCCCCGGCGTCTCTCCCAGGCTGGGCGGGACCGGGTCAGTGTACGGGAAGGATGGGGCTGTGCGCTGTGTGTGGGGTGCCGCTTCTCATCCTCATCATCGGGGCTGCTGTGTGCCTGGCTGCCTGTCCCTGCTCCGATCCGGCTCTCTGTCAGCCCATCCAACACTCCCGGGACTTCGAGGTATTGGCAGTCCGACATCCCCCCCCCCCCCCCCCTATCGTCACATTGTAACTTCCTCCTTCTCCAATCACCGACATCGCACTGATCGCTGGACTCAGTTTCATGGGGGGAAGGAGCTACACTGACAGCACAGCTGTCATTCCTACACTGCAAGCTAGGAGATGAGTGCTGACATCTGATTGGTTGTTGGTCTGCAGGGTGCAGTTTGGGGATGAGTGCAGGCATCTGATTGGTTGTTGGACTGCAGGTTGCAGAGTTTGGAGATGAGTGCAGGCATCTGATTGGTTGTTGGACTGCAGGGTGCACAGTTTGGAGATGAGTGCAGGCATCTGATTGGTTGTTGCTCTGCTGGATGCAGTTAAAGGATATGTTCATCTTTTAAAAAAAATAATAAATGCACATTGTTTTGCAGGTAAAAAAAAAAGTGAATTTAATATTTTTGGGTTGTGGAGCCTGTAAAGCATTGCAGCAGCGATCAGCAGATCACTGGTGCCATACAGGTCTCCTTCTGACCTCTCAATATATCTGCTTGTCCGTACATCCCATAGATCTCATAGATCGCGTACATCCTGAAGATCCCGTACATCACATACATCCCATAGATCCCGTACAAGCAAGCAGATAATACTGGCAGGAAGGTTCAGTAAACTGTGGAGCGCCGTGGTAGTACATTGAAATCTGCAAGCTGACAGGTTGCTGGGACTTGTAGTTTTCCCATTCATGGAATGCTGTGAATGAATGATGCAGCCGGGTGGGCGGAGCCCCACATGGCTGTGTTTAAAAAAAAATTGTGACAGCTAGTGGGGAGGAGAAGATCTCTGCTAGCTGTCACATGGGGGGGCGGTCAGATCGTTACATGTTACACCCTGAATATGGGTGTAACATGTTACAAAAGGTGAACTTATCCTTTAAGAGATGAGTGTAAGCGTCTGAGTAGTTGTTGGCCTGGGGGATGCCTAGTTAGGAGATGAGAGCTGGCCTCTGTTTGGTTGTTGCTCTTGTAGATTCAGAGTTAAGCCTAGTAGACACTGTGACGGGCGCGGCGTCAGACCCCCAGCCCTTCTCACCAACTTGTGACCGAAGAACTAGCCAATCTAAAACCGCGCTGTCACGTGTGTAACAATGCCACACTCAGCTGCACCCTGCACAAAGATGTTCCAGCTAATGGACCACGATCTATGTGCCGGCAGCCTGAGAGTGATTGTTACTGGGTCAGGTAATTACGCAATTAACCCTTCACACTGCCACCACCGCATTTTTGTACAGAGAAGGAAGAAACTCACCAATCTTAGCAGTAACACTATGATGTTTGAATAAGCGTCTGTATACCACTGTCACTGCAGGCAGATGTATGCAGAAGTTTAAAACACACAGTAGCACTCTTCAGAGACAGGGATTCTTAGTTGGCATTAAAGAGCTTTAGAAACAGTTCAACGCTTTTCAGAAAATAGGATTTATTACTAAAAAGGTCAAAATGGTGCAATAAAAATATTTACAGAAAAAGATGTAGCATATATATATATATAAATACAGAGAGCAATAACACAACAGGGAGATAACAGAAAGAACCTTAGAGAGGTAGAATACTTGCCAGAGTCATTGGTTTAAGCAAATTCAAGTGTCCTGAGCAAAATGGTACCGTTTCTCCCAAAGTTGGTTCCAGATGTTAAAAAGGAGAATATCTTCATCTCCAGGCCTGACAGCCTGTTTTCTAGTGACCCAGCAGGGGGTGTCTACTGAAGCCAAGGGCCAATCGCCTCATTTGGGGAGGGGGTTTAGGCAGAGACCAAGGCTAGGACCAAATCCCTGGCAAGTTTATACCATGGTTAATAACCTTCCATAGGTACATGTAGCACCCTATCCACTGGTAGGATAATATGCAGAATCATCTGCTGAACGTCCAGACACCAGATATGACATATCTGACTGTGCCGGTTAAAGAGATATCGCTTTCTGCTCTCGGGTAGACGTTATCTAGGGGTGTAAGGTTTCAGGTGACTTGTATTAAAATGTCCTACCTGAATATATGCTTTGTTTTATTGTACTTTGTTCCTGCTGGGATTTATGAAATTGTATGAAAAAGTGATTTCAGTGGAATGTACGTTTTACTGCTACTTCCAGAATGCTTTTCGTGTCCAGTGACTGACGGATTTATAGCTTTACGATCAGGCCAGAGCAAGAGTCTGACAGACCTCATGGAACCAGCTAATGGGGTTTACAACCATGAAGTGTATCCAGCTGTGCCCTGTGCACTCCTGAACTCAGCACAAACACAGACCACATGCCATTCAACAAAAAGGGAGGGGGCCTGATTTGGAGTGAGAATGACACAAGATGGTGGATGGTTGTCCGCATCCATATCTGTACGTACAATTGCTACACACACTATAGGAAAATCGGATGAACGATCGTCCAGTTTTCCTCGATGTTTCACAGCAAGTTGAATCCGAGGATGGTACTAATTGTAAGAAAATGACAAGGCTTTTTTTGTTTTTGATAATGCGCAGTCTTTCATATCTGATTTTTCTCGTATGAAAACAGAACACTAATGAAAAATGGTCATGCTCACGTACAAGAACAATTTTGGAGTGTGTCCCTTCAGAAACTTTCATTTAGAAAGTCTAAATCGGATGTCAAAAGTTGTGTAAACACCAGGGGCGGACTGACCATTTGGTCACTCAGGCACTGCCCGAGAGCCTGGGGTCAGTAGGAGGCCCCATGAGATGCCCCTGGTACCTTTCATAGGCTTTTTTGGGTGTGGTTTGAGTGTTGGCGAGGACACAGGGGCCCCATGATCCCCTATTGCCCGGGGACCCTATGAGTTGTAAGTCCACCCCTGGTAAACACTATATGAAAATTGAATGATCGGTCGTCGTACGGATTTTTCTTTCAATTTTCCCCACTTTAGAACAGGAGTTTTGGCATCTGAATAGTTGTTGCAGAGTAAGAAGATGAGTGCCGGCATCTCATTGGTTGTTGCTCTGCTGGATGTAGTTAGGATATGAGTGCTGGCATCTGAATGGTCTGGGGGATGTAGAGTTCGGAGATGAGAGCTGGCATTTGGTTGGTTGTTGCTATGGGGGAATTCAAAGTTGTTGAGGAATGGGGGAAGCAAAGTTAGGCGAATTCAAAGTTAGGAGATGAGAACTGGTGTCTGATTGGTCCTTGCTCTGGGGGATGCAGAGTTAGGAGATGGGTGCTGGCATTTAGTTGGTTGTTGCTATGGGGGATATGGAGTTAGGAGATGAGAGCTGGCATTTGGTTGGTTGTTGCTATAGGGGAATGCAAAGTTAGGAGATGAGAACTGGTGTGTGATTGGTCCTTGCTCTGGGGGATGCAGAGTTAGAAGATGGGTGCTGGGATTTGGTTGGTTGTTGCTATGGTGGATGCAGAGTTAGGAGATGAGAGATGGCATTTGGTTGGTTGTTGCTATGGGGGATGCAGAGTTAGGAGATGTATGCTGGCATCTGAGTGGTTGTTTCACTGGGGGATATGGAGTTAGGAGATGAGCACTTCCATAGTTGTTGCTATGGAGGATGAAGGAGATGAGTCCATTGATTGTTGTTGTTGCTATGGAGGATGAAGGAGGAGTTAGGAGATGAGTGCTGGCATCTGAGTGGTTGTTGCTCTGCAGGGTGCAGCATTAGAAGATTGTTCTAATGGATTGGTTTTTGCTCTGGAGACAGAGGTAGGAGATAAGGTCTGCCACTTGAATAGTTGTTGATCTGAGTGTTGCAGAGTAAGGAGATAAGTGCTGGCATCTGATTGGTTGTTGCTCTGGGGGATGCAGAGTTAGGAGAGGAGAGCTGACATCTGATTGGTTGTTGATCTGGGGGTTGCAGATGTAAGGAGTATTTTTCCCACTGACCACCAATGTCAGGAGCTGAACAGGGCGATCATTACACTAATGTGCTGTGAGCTGTAGATATAGTCATTATTAGCAGAGGGTCCCTGAGCCCTGTGATTTATTTAATTGTATTTATTAGACTTTATATAACTGCGGAGACACTTTACATCTTTAGCCCAGAAAGTCTGTTCAAGGGTTCCTCTGTGATTATTTAATTGTATTTATTAGAAGTCTTTATATATAACGCGGACACTTTACACAGCACTTTAAATATAGTGTATATTGTAGAGTCACATCAGTCCCTGACCTCAAGGGGTGTACAATCTAAGGTCCCTAACTTACATTCATACGTACACATACTAGGGCCAATTTAGACAGGAGCCAATTAACCTACCAGCATGTCTTTGGAATGTGGGAGGAAACCTGCCCAGGCACAGGGAGAACATGCAAACTCCATGCGGGTAGTGTCATGGTTGGGATTTAAACTGATGAACCCAGTGCTACCAGGTGGAGGAGCTAAGCACTAAGCTATGCTAAAGAGGCTGCTCTATACTGTTCATAGCTATAACATTTCCAGAACTTTGATGGGATACATGACTCCTGCTGCACTCTGGTGTCACTAGAAGACAATGGCTGGTCCCAGCCCCATGGGTGGTGGGTGCACGTCATTGTGGTATTGTTGGTTATTCCGGAGTAGCAGAATTTTACAAAACTGACAATATCATTCTGTTCCTCTTTATAGGTCTATACCTTCCATGTTCGCGGCAAAAACTGGAAACACTATGACTGGTCTGTGGTGACCACGGTGGCTTTATTTGGATCTTATGACCCCGGACTGATGTGCTTTGCACACTCCAAAGGAGCAAGATTTGTGCTAAAGGGTGAGAATGGCATGTGAAGTGGCTTGGTGATGCATGGGCTCAAATGGTGTTAACAAAATAGTGTCACAGGATACTTAACCTGGTTCACTAATGCATTGGAAAGGGTTTTAAAATATTGCTGGACAAATACATTGTGAACATCTTTCAGGCATCTTTTTTGACAGCCTGAGAATTCCTAAACCTGGCAGGTCATAGTCTGAAAGATGATCATCGGAGTGCCATCGTTCATGGCTGGTCTGTGTCCTTAGCCCAGAACATATATATAAAATGCCTTTGGAATGTAGGAATAATCCCCTAAACCATTGAAGCCGGCTACTCAGTAACGTCCATTTCATCAGTTCTTTATACCAGTGGTCTCCAAACTGAAGCCCGGGGGCCAAATGTGAGCTTTTGCTTGCTTGCTTTTTTACCTGGTCCATGGAGCACTGTTTCTTACACTCGCATAAACTAAGGGGCATGATTCCTCCCACTGACACCAATGAAGGGGTGCAATGCCTCCCAATGACACCAATGATTGGACACAATTTCTCCCAATGACAGGACCAATGAGGCCCAATGACACCAATGATGGGACACAATTCCTCCCAATGACACCAATGGTATGGAACTATTCTTCCCACTGACACCAATGATGGGGCACGATTCCTTTCCCTGATACCAACAATGGGACACTATCCTTTTCCCTGATCCCAATGATGGGGCACTATTTTTTCCCCCACTACCAAGAATGGATCACCATTCCTCCCACTAAATACCAATAATGAAGCATTGTTTATTCCCATTGATGCCGGGGCATTTTCTACTCACACTGGCCACAGTCCGGCCCCTTCAAAGTCATAAGGACAGTAAACCGGCCCTTTGTTCAGAAAGTTTTGGAGACCCCTACTGTACAACAATGCCTTAGAGACAACTCCTCCCAGTGACACTCATGATGGGACATAATTCCTCTCAATGACTCTAACAATGGGGCCCAATGACACCAATGATGGAACACAATTTCTCCCAATGACATCAACAATGAGGCCCAATGATACCGATGATGTGACACAATTTCTCCAGTGACACTAACAATGAGGCCCGATGACACCAATGATGGGACACAATTCTTCTCAATGACATCAACAATGAGGCCCTAATGACACTGGTGATGGGACACAATTCCTCCCAGTGACTCTAATAATGGGGCCAAATGACACCAATCATGGGACACCGTTTATGCCAATTTCATCAACGAGGCCCAATGACACAGATGATGGGACACAATCCCTCCCAATGACATCAATAATGAGGCCCAATGACACCGATGTTGGGACACAATTGCTCCCAGTGACACTCATGATGGGACACAGTTCCTCGCAATGACACCAACAATGAGGCCCGATGACCCTGTTGATGGTACACAATGCCTCTCAGTGACTCTTAACAATGGGGCCCAATGACACCAATGATGGGACACAATCTCTCCCAATCACATCAACAATGAGGCCCAATGACATCGATGATGTTACACAATTCCTCTAGTGACACTAACAATGAGGCCCGATGACACCAATGATGGGACACAATTCCTCCCAATGACACTCATGATGGGACACGATTCCTCCCAATGACACCAACAATGGGACTCAGTGACATTAATCATGTGACACAATTTCTCCCAATGATGGGGCATTGTTTTTTTTTCTCACTGACCTCAGGACCTGTTCTACTTCCAATTGCCACAGTCTGGCCCCCGTAAAGTCTAAAGGACAATAAACTGGCCCTTTGTGTTGAAAGTTTGGAGACCCCTGCTTTATAGTATGAATAAGGCTTCCGCCAAAACGCGTTAGCATTGTACTTTTGTATTCTGCCATGTAGCCAATAAGACAATGAAGAATTGATGCAATGGATGTTACTGAGTAGCCAGGTCAATTGTATTAGATTACTATTGCTATATTTCAAAGGCATTTGGTCCACAGCACAGGTTCCCAGTCTACCAGGTAATTTGCGGTAGCATGTTTTCTTTGTTGGAACATGTACCTAAAATGCACATGCCCCAGAGTATGGACAATAAAGTTTTTCTATATTCTCTGCAAGCATTAAAAGCACTTTAAAGCAAAACTTTATTCACCTTTGTAGTTATATGGACTGTGGAGAAATTAATCTTCAAAATTATCAAGTGGCATCAAAATAGCTCCTTTTCCTTTATTTTCTATGGCAGCACAAACTTGATATGGGCTGAAAGTTCTCTAATGCGTAAACTGTTTGGTCTCATGTACACTGCAGCTGATAAACTCACGTTTAGGAGCTGTTCAGCGATTTTTTTTCAGCAGCCCCTGAACTCTCCCTAATGTTTTCCTACGTGTCCATGTACACATCTTCGTTTATAGTCGTTTACAGGCATTTGAGTTTACAATCATTTTTCTAAACGCACCAAACTTGCGTTCAGCAGTTGATTTTATCAGCATTTCAAATGCAAAACTCTTGTAAACGCGGTTTAAATGCAAATCGCGTTTATAAGCGTTTGAAAATTTCTTTTTAACTCTTCCAGTTCCCAATGCTATGCTGTCCAGAGCCTTTTTTCATCATGAAAAATGCATGCAGTGTTTTCAAGGTACCCAAATGAACAAAACACTGAACACAGGATGTTCCTATCAAGTTTGTCACACATTGTAATGACAAATTCACACCTCAGACCTCTCCCACCCTTGAAAACAAAAGATATGTTAATTACCAATTCACACTTCAAATTCCTCATGAAGACCCCCTGCCAGGTGACCTTAATGACTCACTCCACCAGACACCTTTCCACCCTTGGAAACAAAAGAAATGTTAATGAGCAACTCACAGCTAACTAATCTCAACACATACTGCTGTCTCTGCTTCTACTCTCTTATTTCTCTGAAACAGTCTGAAATAGTTAATAATTTACCACTTTTCAGTGCATTATGGGCATTTGGGAGGTTCTCCTGTGCTTATCTTTAAAAAACACTTCTAAACGCAAACGCGCATAAACGAGTTATGCAAACGTGGCTAAACAGACATTTTTTAATCTACAGCGTCAGTTTCCATCGTTCAGAAGTGTCCTGTGTACATGGGGCCTTAGATCAATGCATGTAATCTAATCTATTCACTTGAATAGAAACTTTAATGGTTTGGGTCAATTTTTATTTGTATTTCTTTTTAAGATGTCGACATTTTTACCATTTTTACTTTTTCAAGTAAAAATATAATACAACTTTCCCATGACTGAAGATTGACAAAGCAATATGCGTGTTTAAAAGAGAGAATGCAGCAGGGGGGTTTTCCTTCCTACAATATCTTTCTCACTGAAATCTCCAGGAGAACCAACTGAAGAGAGCAGACAGGGAGGGGGAGGAGTCATTGTGTCTGTACATTTCAGCTTGAGCTATTGATCTCTGTATAGAGCAGGAATTTTCTGCAAAGCAGATAAGGAGAGCCTGAAGATCAATGTCTAAAGTTCCACCTTTTAGCCCTGACTATAGGGGCCTAAAGGAAATACATACAAACCACTATATGTTCCCAGGATCTGGAGCAGTGGTGTATGTAGGTTTTGTGCTGCCCTAGGCAACACAAAAATGAGCCCCCCTCCTGCTCGAGAAAGCCTTCCACTACCACTGCCCCCCCCCCCCCATACACCAACCACCATCGCGCACAGTGAGAGAGAGAAAGACACTCATCTTCACAGCTCCGGACATCCCTTATAACAAGAGTCGGGCTGTGCATACACCATCATGAAACCCGCAGCCTCTCTTGGAACCCACCAGGTCCCATGCCGCGTGTGTCCTTTTTTCCGTCCCTTTTTCCGAGGGGCAGTGCTGCCCCCCCCTGAAAAATGCCGCCCTAGGCAAATGCCTTGTTTGCCTTGTGGTAAATCCACCTCTGGTCTGGAGAACAATATACGTTTTAGTTAAAAAAAAAACCTGAACTTGTCCTGTTAATGCTGTAACCTTCCCAAGGAAGATCCTAAGTCTTCTTTGCATCATTTCTCTCTATTTGCCCAACATTGTAGGCAATGTGTTGCGCTCCCAATCATTAAATCAATATTTTGTTATTTGAATATGATCTCTATAATAAAGATCACAATAATTAAGAATGATGTGTGCAAATAAACATAAATACTAATATTCTTAAACTTTGAATTGATACAAATAAATAATGTGCATAAAAAATGACAATAAATCACTAAAAAATTAATAAATATAAAAAATAAAAAATAAAATATAAAGATAAAAATAAATATAAAGATAATGTCCCAAAAAGTGACTTTGTGCTGGAAAATCTTCAATCTAAAATAATTGTAAATCGGTGACTGCTTGTGAATCCTCCCTCCTGTGAAGATGTGCGCTCACCTCATGAGAAGCCTGCAATTAGGCTATAAAAGCTTGCGGTTCACCTCCTTTGGAACCTACTAGTTTAGAACTCCTGCTTGAAGATAGGATGAATCTCCTCTCCAGAGGGTGCAACTCCTCTATACTTTCATCTCCATGCGATTCTCCACATATAAAAAAGATCTCGACATGGTGCTTTATCTTTTATATAAGTATGCCTTTTATTTGCTTATGATATGGCACTCACATATAAAGTGTGCGGATAGTGGTAGCACAAATGCAATCCCAAACCGCCGCTGATTGTCCGACAATCAGCGGCGGTTTGGGATTGCATTTGTGCTACCACTATCCGCACACTTTATATGTGAGTGCCATATCATAAGCAAATAAAAGGCATACTTATATAAAAGATAAAGCACCATGTCGAGATCTTTTTTATATGTGGAGAATCGCATGGAGATGAAAGTATAGAGGAGTTGCACCCTCTGGAGAGGAGATTCATCCTATCTTCAAGCAGGAGTTCTAAACTAGTAGGTTCCAAAGGAGGTGAACCGCAAGCTTTTATAGCCTAATTGCAGGCTTCTCATGAGGTGAGCGCACATCTTCACAGGAGGGAGGATTCACAAGCAGTCACCGATTTACAATTATTTTAGATTGAAGATTTTCCAGCACAAAGTCACTTTTTGGGACATTATCTTTATATTTATTTTTATCTTTATATTTTATTTTTTATATTTATTAATTTTTTAGTGATTTATTGTCATTTTTTATGCACATTATTTATTTGTATCAATTCAAAGTTTAAGAATATTAGTATTTATGTTTATTTGACACATCATTCTTAATTATTGTGATCTTTATTATAGAGATCATATTCAAATAACAAAATATTGATTTAAGGATTGGGAGCGCAACACTATAGATATATATATTTTTTGCGGTTTATCACATTGGTAGTTATGTGCTAGAGGTTTGCGATCCAGCATTAGAGTGTATTAATAAGGAGTTTTTGTTCATTTTCTGGCTCGCAAGATATTTCTAATATTGTAGGCAATGTATCAGTGAAGAAAATCATAGATCCAAAGAAGAGAGCTGCATGGATTGCAGAGAAGGTGAACCTGACCAAGACTCAGTACATGGATGGGATCAACTTGGACATCGAGCAGACAATACGTCCACATACACCCGAGTATTACGCCCTAACGGATCTGGTGAAGGAAACCACAGAGGCCTTTCACAAAGAAATCCCTGGATCTCAGGTGATCAAGCTGCTTTTACTTACAACCATTCACCAAGTTTAAAGGATTTTTATAGGCTTGGCCCAAATGTACCCCCAAACCTGTCTTTCTACCTCCTAGATCATTAATTTTTGTTTCTTTTACCTTAATTCCTGTAGCAGGAAAAAGCTTTTATTACTCCCTGTGACGTTTATGCTTGTAAATGTCTTGCAGGGTCAGCTGCTGGGACCTCAGTTTCTATTAATGTAGACATGCCCCCAAAACTACATCTCCCAAGAGCCTTTTTCCTTCACAGGCTTTTAGGTTCCTGTCACACGGATGCCCTCCATTTCATCTCAGTGAGAAATCCTGGACTGATCCCTTCCAGAGTCATATCAGTATAGATACCGATGTCAGATGTAATTTGATGCATAATGGAGGCTGTCATTAATGATCTCGTCTTTTTAGGATTCACCCTGACTGTCATTAGGTCAACAGGCGTCGGCCATTTACATTCCTCCTGAAGCCTGACTGGAATACTCCCAGGATGTTGCTAAGTGAGGCCTAGCTGTTCCTGTTCACCTCCACCATCACAGGAGTGAGCTCTTTCTCAGAATCAGACCCCCTCACATGCTTTTTCTCCTCCTGATTCAGTCATTGTGGGTGTAGGATTATAACTTTTTTTTTATGGTTGAACTGGATGGACTTTTGTCTTTTTTCAGCCAGACTAACTATGTAACTATGAATAAAATTTAAATTAATTACTTTCCTTATTTTATTTATTTCAGGTACTTCTATAGCGCCATCAATTCACGCAGCACTTTACATATATATTGTACATTCACATCAGTCCCTAACCCTCGAGGGGCGTACAATCTAAGGTCCCTAGCTTACATGCATACATACACATACTAGGGCCAATTTAGACAGGAGCCAATTAACCTACCAGCATGTCTTTGGAGTGTGTGGAAGGAAACCGGAGAACCTGGAGGAAACCCACGCAGGCACAGGGAGAACATGCAAACTCCAGGCAGGTGGTGCTGTGCCTTATAGCTTTGGATCAGAAGCACCGCTTCTGAGGATGCCTCTCTTCCCCCAGCTGTGGGATGGACAACATCTTGTAGCCACCTGGATGTGGCCCCACAGGCTGTAGTTTGGAATCCCCGATCAACAAAAATGTCTTGTAGAAATCCTTTATGGTATCTGCTTGTAATTCAGGACATTATTATTATACAGTATTTATAAAGCGGCAATAGTTCGCTCAGCGCTGTACATTACAAAGGGGGACAGAACATGTAACCGAACAATACCAATACAATGCAAAACATGAGGGGATCGAGGGCCCTGCTCTTTCGAGCTTACAATCTAGGAGGGAGGGGATGGTGGCACAGGAGGAGATAGCTGTGGGGGATGGAGTGGTAGGAAGAGTGGAGGAGGTCGGCAAGTTAGCAGGGGGTGGGGTAGGCTTCCCTGAAGAGATGGGTTTTCAGGGTGCGCCTAAAGGAGAGGAGAGTAGGTGATAATCTGATGGGTTGGGGCAGGGAGTTCCAGAGGATGGGTGACACCCTGGAGAAGTCCTGGAGGCGGGCATGGGAGGAGGAGACCAGGGAACTAGAGAGAAGGAGGTCTTGTGAAGAGCGGAGTGTGCGTGCTGGGCGGTGATTGGATATTAGGTCAGTGATGTAGTTCGGGGCAGTATGGTGGACGGCTTTGTACGTCAGTGTTAGGATTTTGAATTTGATCCGTTGCGCAATCGGAAGCCAGTGGAGGGATTGGCAGAGGGGGGTGGCGGGATGGTGGCGGAGATGGAGCAGTTGGAAAGGTGAATGAGTCTGGCAGCCGTATTCAGGACATCATTATATATTTGTTTCCACCAGCGCCCAAGACTCTGGATCTACATAGCTGCTGAGTAGGCTATCTGCTTTAGTACTCTCAGACAGTAAAGATTGTTCTGGCAGCCATTACTACAAACACAAAACCATGTCCCCTCCAGCCATCCTATTGTGTGCAATGCAGTACCAAGGTCAATAATGTCTGCCAGATATTAGGTTATCACGTTTGACCTTTGATAGAAAAGAAACTAAAGCTGCTTTTATCCTGGGTTTACACTTGTGCGGTGCTGCATATCGGATGTGATTCGTACAGGAACCGCACTGCATTCCTGGGCAAATCAAATGCGATTTCTGTACGGTGCGATTTGAGCCATACATTTTGTATGGATCAAATCGCACTGCTTCCGCACCAAAAAAGTGCAGGACCCTTTTTTTGGTCTGCTGCACTAGAATTGGACTGCATGGGTATTCACACTATTGCGATCTGATTCTGCACATCACACCGCATTTTGTGGATCGATTTTGGGATTTTGGGACATAGCATTTCGCATGAACGGAGTGCAATTGTGATGCGGAATTCACACAGAAAATGCTGCACCACATCAGTGCGAATCCAGGCTAAAGGCTAAGTTCACATTTTTTTTCTAAATTGGAAAGAGCTGAGCAAACTGTTGCCGCTATATCTATCTATCTATCTCTCCCATATCTATCTATCTATCTATCTATCTCTCCCATATCTATCTATCTATCCAGTCATATCTGACCTTTGGCAATTGCATGGACCGTCACTCGTAAGCGACTTTTTCCATGAATTCTCTTAGCAATTATTTTACAGGGTAGGTTGCCAGGTCTTTCCCCAACCCCTACCATGCAGGAGGTCCCACATGGCCAGGGATGAAACTAGGACAATTTAAACAGGAGCCAATTAACCTACCAGCATGTCTTTGGAGTACCCGGAGGAAACCCACGCAAACACAGGGAGAACATGCAAACTCCATGCAGGAGGCGCCATGGTCGGGAATCGAACCCACGACCCATTTACTGCATGGCAGACGTGCTAACCACTAAGCCACTGTGCCGCCCCTGCCACTATATAAATCCTGAATAATAATAATAATAAGTACAAAAAAAATGTAGTGGAATTGGAAATTAGTCTGGAGGACGGGTGTTCCTAGGATGTGTTTGCATGTTTGTTGTGCATCTTCTGTTGAGATCACCCATCACTCCCTATACCAAGAGAAAGTTAGAAGAAATCTCCTTAGTGGGAATCACAAATAAAAACCTGGCTGAGCTTCAATCCTTTCCTCTCTTTTCCAAAAATAAAAATTGGGTGGGAATTCGGCTTTAATGTGCAGCATGAGTTCATTCAGATGTACTTTACAATCTCTCTTACTCTAATTACAGGTGACGTTCGATGCTTCGTGGTCCCCCAAATGTGCGGATCGTTGCTATAACTATTCTGCCATAGCGGAGCTGTCTGACTTTGTGTTTGTAATGTCCTACGATGAGCAACCTCAGATCTTGAATGAATGTATTGCTGGAGCCAATGCGCCATTCAACCAAACCATAACCGGTGAGCATGGAGTTGCGTTTTGACATGTTTGTCTATTATTGCCAGTATATTCCACAGTGCTTCACAGAGCGCATAGAAGCTTTGTCTTTAGTCCCTGCCCCAGAGGAGCCTATTTTCAATGTCTAATGTCAACAGAGTGGGGTGTGCCACGTCATCAGGAATCCCACACACTAAAGGTGGGAATACACAATTAGAAAATCGACCGATCGGTCATCCAACGACCGAGAGGCGTTCGTTCGTTGGTCGAAATCGTGGCCCACATTAACCAATCTAAAAAAATCGTTCGTCGGGCAATATGTAAAGTTGATGTCTTCCGTACAAGTGGAAGTAATGCAGTGTGCGTGTGACCTTGTAGCCACGCCCTTCCGGCCAGAACGAGCGATATACACAACAATTACCAGCAATGAGTATAATATCATTTATTACATGACCTATATATATAAATAGTGATACATAAAATATAATCTGCACAATTCTGGTTTCATTATCTCATTAGGCCAATCTACTTTGAACATTTGTATTTTTCATTCGTGTTGGCGAAGATTCCTTGGACATAATCATCCGAATCATCTTCTGTTTCTGCTCATGCATGATAGCGCTTGATAGATTTTTTTCATATGACCGTCATACCACCGCATAGAAAATCGGTCATTTGTTTGCGAAACGAACAAACATTTTTCACTGTTGTTCAACCGGATTTTTTTCGTTCACAATAACGTTATCGGTTAAAACATCCTGATGAAAATTGTTCGATCAGTGGTTCTGCAAAAATTTTTGGGACGATTTTCTTATCGTGTGTACGGGGCATTAGTTGATGTCAGCTAAATATTTGAAGATTTTTCAAAAGAGATTGTAAGGTGTATGGCCAGCTTAAAAAAAATATGTAAACCCAACATTTTACATGAAAACATATCCTGTTCTCTTTGTACTGCTTCCTTTGTGTGGAAATCCCTGGTGTTCCTGGCAGTTCCCTCTGCTTTCCTGTTAAAAATTGACCACACTAGGCATTAGAGCACAAAATGGTCAGCTCTCTAGCTGTGCTGGGAACTCAGCCCACTCTCTCCAATGATCAGACACCCCCCTCCCCCTACACAGCCATTCATTGGGAAGTTCAGTGTGCTGTTTCTCCTCCACCAGCTCTTATGCAGCTGAAAACAGAGCGTATTTGATCATTTAAAAAAAAAAGGGGGAAAAAGGTGTCTATAATGTTTTTTTGATATCTATACACAAATGTTTTGCCTTTCGTTTCTATTTTAAATTGAATGGGTAGTTTTACAAGGTGAGGGTATTGATGTGGATAATGAAACTCTAGACTTGCCTAATCCTTTGGAAATACCGTTTTTTTAAAAAGTCATTATTTGCAAAAGGATCTTCGTGGGGCACTAATATGGTGATCCTAGAAGTTTTGTGGTCTTGGGTGCCTGTAGGCTCCTGTTTTGG